GTGTGTGTGTGTGTGTGTGTGTGTGTGTGTGTGTGTGTGTGTGTGTACAGGCTTGGGCTGTAGAATTCCAGGTATCTCCTCATACTAATGAATGAGAAATAGAAGTTTTTATATACGTGGCTATGGGCCAGTTCAATTATGCACTCTTTTATATGCCTTGACATTCCTTTTCACAAGACAATTTGAATACTGTGACTATTTAGATTTGCTGCTGAAATTGTCAGGGATGCCTCATGTGATCACTTCAGGATCAGAATAGAGGTATGTGGGGTCAAGCCTGGGCAAGTGCAAAGCATTCCAGTTGATTCAAGTCGTGTGTGTGTGTGCACGCGCACACACACATACACAAAGCCTATAGAAAAACATATGCAAAGAGAGATGTGTTCTTGCAAGCAAACTAGATTGCCATCACTTTCAATATGAATGAATTATTTCAATTATTTCAATTAATCATTAAACTGCCATTGGGTGAACCCAACTTACTACAGTACAAAGTATTTTCCCAAGACCCTTTTTTGATTGCATGTCATTTTTTTTAAAGCGGCTTGGGGAAAAAAAATAATTCTAGGGGGAAAAAATGCAGGCAAACTTAAAGGTCTTGACTGCTAATGATAAGCTTTTGCATGTAACAAAGGTGATGCAGAAGATTCCCTACTGAATGCTAGATATAGATTGTACTGGGTTTTGTACAAAACTAGAGGAAGATTTGGAAGCATGCAGGCTGCAAAGCACATGGGTTTGCTGGCTTATAACAAAATGGTATTTCCAGCCAGTTCTGGATGCACTGATGGGTCACAGAGAAAACGTACTGCGTAGATTGATTGGGTTGTTTTGCTTCAACCCAACCTTTGCTTAGAGCAAAAATCTGGTCATCCTCATGCTCTGAAATCATAGACGTAACATCTTGTATAAAATATAGCAATATCAAAATATAATACTTCATTCAATACTACAGCTTCTTTCCCAATGCATTGGGAAAGGGAGTTTAGTCTTCCCTTTGTCAACATTGCTGATGGAACAGTTGGTCTGAATGGCAATGCACATTGATAGTCCCAACAGTCTCACTTGAAGAGGTACTCCATTATATTTTTCCTCTTTTCCCTTTCTCTTGCAAGTAAATGTATCTGACTACAAGTTGAAATAAACCAAAATAACTTAAATAGAAGAATCAATCCTCTCTTGGCGTCGCTGCATGATTTCCTCAAGTTCTGACTTTTCTCTATTTTTCTGTTAAGAAAAAAAAAGAATTTTATTTAATAAAAAAAACATTACCTACGTAAAGCAAATCACTTTGGTAATTTAGCATTTTCGAGAGTGAGTTCACTCTATGGTTTCTTCTCTCCAATTTCTCAGAAGCAATTTGAGATGACCTGCAATTGTTTTCTTTTCCAGCAATCTCACAATTTTAAACAAAGAACTATTGTCAAGATCTGACTTGCCAGAGATTCAAAACTAGGTCCTGAACTGCTGCAGTTCCTGCAGAAACAAAAATCTCGTTACTCCTGTTCTTGCAAAAATGAAATAAATGTTGCAGCCACCAACTGCAAAACCACGATTCAAGGTGAGCATTAGGTCCAGAAATATACACACATATAATATCCTGGTGGATCCTCAGAAGGCAAGCTAAAAAAGATGCAAGCCATATTATTACTTTAAAGATAGATCTGCAGTTTTACTACAGAAAAATTCTTTTTTAAAAAGTGATTTTACAGTACATGGCAAAAACATGAACTATAAGAAGGGTACATATAGAGAGTTAACAATTGAGATTTAAAATAGACATAAAATGCAAATGTCCTTGGAGAGAAAATAAATTATTAGGCTCAATAGACAACTAAATAATTAGCAGAAATAACTACTGCAACAAATTTAGCAGCCCATCTGGAGAATCTATTTGTAATCTTTCAGCTAAGATAAGGAAAATAATTTCCCCCCTTTGATTAGGCATGATTGTAGTTGAGAGAGGTGCTATTAATTCACCACTATGTCATATAAAAGGGAATTGCAAGGGGATATATAAAATTGTTTCTTCTAATGAACTTGGACAAAGCTGTTTTTGCAGAGAAATATTATGTAGTCTTTTTCCTTACAGGAAGGTGGTACTATCCAAGAAGTGTAAATTGATCTAATACAGTGGTGTCAAACTGGATTTTTTTGAGGACTCGATCAGCATTGTAGTTATCCTCCGCAGGCTGGCCCGGGGGGGATAGATGCCTCCTGCAACACCCTACTGGCCAAAATGGGGTGGGGGTGGGGCTTCAGCCCTATTGCACCTCATTTTGACTGGCAGAATGCTGCAAGAGGCAAAAAATGGGGTGCATAGGGGTGCCTGCAGCCTCCCCATGCCCCGTTTTCACCGGAAGAGGCACCCTAGACTGGTCCTTTGCTATTTCCAGGTGGGGCCCATGGCCAGATCTAAGCACCCCTGGTCTAATACTTCACCCAGTGATTTCATTTGGTCTCCAAAGAAATTAGCTCAAATTCCAGTATCAACAGGGAGTAAGATGAGTTACTTGAAGCAAAACCCTTATAAATTTGAATTGAATTATCTTCATAGAGCTGCTACAAAATACTACGGTAACATCCATGCATCATATATCAGGTGATTAATGACTTTTGCACTGAAACGTTTAATGGCACTAAACATACTTATTATCTTCATAATCGCAAAATGGAGGATGGTATTTGAAAACTTTTGGGGCTGGGGGCAGGTTAGCCCTTCCTTATTTGTTCAAGGTTATCAAGGCTTGGAAAGAGACACTTAAGATATCCAAATCCTCTCATCTGATTAATGTTAAAGCCATTAATTTTGCAGGAATAGTGGTGTGTAACAATTAATTTGGAGAAAATGACTATGGTTTTAAACACAATCCATCTGATCTGGGAATAATTGTCTTTGCCATTGAACATTGCTGAGATCATAGGATCACAAAGGTCCAGAGCTGCTTTCAAAATGGCATAGACAAAAGGCCTAAAGTTAAAAGGGGGGCGGGAACCAGAATAAAATTTAGGGATTTTTGTTAAATTACTTTTACTAACCCTATAAAAATGCATTTTATCTGGAAGTTATATTCAGTTCTTAAATATTACCCCCTTTAAATACCTTTTGTGGCCAATGGACCCCCAAGATTTAACTCGAGATTTAAATCATAACATTTCTTCAAACCTTCTCAGACTCCTCTGTGATGACATCGTAAACCCACAAGTTGAGAACTACTGAACTAGCTTATTAGCACAGCAACAAAGTCTGCTAGTTTATCTACAATGCTTTAAAGCATCAGCATCTTCCCAGGATTTTGCGGTTGCCCTCAAAGTATTAACAGTCTTAAACGATTAGGAACTTTGCTACAATGTCACTAGACTCACTACCCATCATTTAAATTTTGGATGTGATCATCAAAGAGTTGCTATTTTAAGAACCTTACCTCTAGAATAGACTTTTGTACTGTGATTTTGCTAAATACCCGGGCACCTTCTTCTCCACATACTTTTTTCAATTCTTCTTTGTTTAAGGAGAAAAGCTGTGCTCCTGTTAGTATGCCAAGATGATCCACAGTTCTAAACAACATATTAAGGAGAAAAAACACTATTTAAAGATGTACAAGGCACTTGACACTTTTCATAGGTCAAATAGTTTCTCCTAAATTTACAGAAGATTGTAATTAGTTCTGTATCCTTGACATCTGCTCCAAAGGTTTCTAAAAGGATGCCCTGATCTCATCTCTGACAAAAGTCTGCATTCAGTCTTCATGAAGTGTAAGAAATTTGAAAAATGGACCAGTTTCTTAAAAATGAACTGAACTGAACTGAACTAAACTAAAACTAAATTACAGTAATACAGCTTCCTAACAGACAGGAAGCAGCAGGTGAAGCTAGGCAGAATCACATCTGATACCTGCATAATTAGCACAGGGGGCCCCTCCCCCAAGGCTGTGTGCTTTCTCCACTTCTCCTTATATACCAATGACTGCATCTCAAATGATCCATCTGTTGAAATACTGAAGTTTGCAGATGATACAACAGTGATTGGTCTCATTCGAGACAACAACAAATCCGCATACAGATGGGAGGTTGTACAACTTGCCTTGTAGTGTAACCGGAACAATCTGGAACTGAACACACTCAAAACCGTAGAAATGGTGGTAGACTTTAGGAGAAACCCTCCCATACTACCATCTCTTACAATACTAGGCAACACAGTATCAACAGTAGAGATCTTCAAATTTCTAGGTTCTATCATATCACAAGACCTAAAATGGACACCTAACATCAAAAATGTCATCAAAAAAGCACAACAAAAAATATTCTTTCCGTGCCAACTCAGAAAGCTCAAACTGCCCAAGGAGCTGCTGATCCAGTTCTACAGAGGAATTATTGAGTCTGTTATCTGCACTTCTATAACTGTCCAGTTTGGTTGTGCAACCCAACATGACAGACACAGACTTCAGAGAGTAATTAGGACTGCAGAAAAACAATTACTACCCACCTACCTTCAATTAAGGACCTGTATATTGCATGAGTCAAAAAGAGGGCTATGAAATTATTTACAGACCCATCACATCCTGGACCTAAACTAATGACACTATAAAGCACTGCACACCAGAACAACTAGACACAAGGACAGTTTTTTCCTGAACGCCATCACTCTACTAAACAAATAATTCCCTCAACACTGTCTAACTATCTACAAAGTCTGCATTATTATTACCATTACAATTAATCTTCTCATCACTCCTTATCACCCATCCTTCCCACTTGTGACTGTATGACTGTAACTCTGTCGCTTGTATCCTAACAATTTTTATTGACTGTTTCCTAGTATGATTTGATTGCTTATTGTACCCTATGACTATTATTAAGTGTTGTACCTTATGATTCTTGACTCTTGACGAATGTATCTTTTCTTTTATGAGCTTATGACCAAGACAAATTCTTTGTGTCCAATCACACTTGACCAATAAATAATTCTATTCTATTCCATTCTACATTTTTTAAACCTTTTCGGATCAGGCTGTTTTTGCCTCTTCCTCCAATGCTATTCTGAGCAAGTATAACAGAAGCTTTACTGACATACATAAGTAGTGGACAAACTACTCAAAGACCTAGTCATCACTGTCATATAGTTATGTAAGCTTTAATCTAGGAGTGGTTATGGGGATAACAGAACACCATTCTCCTTTTTAGCTAGAATAGAACTAAGCACAATAAAACAAAGTGATCCGCAGATAGTTTTTACATTATGATTTGCTGGAAATCCTGCCCTAATCAGTAGAACATCCAAATGTAAGTAGAGATTATTTTGGCTATTCTAAATCAAAAGTATATTTATATAATGCCCTTTACAGAAGAAAGTTCCTTTGAAATTGAAGAAGATGTGCCCAGCAGCAGTAACAAAGTTTATTAAAAAGAAACTTGATTTGCATCTGCAGATGTTTCTTTACAATTATTCCTTAACTTTTTCCTCAGGAGGGTAATCTTTAAGCACTGATTAATATAGTATATGTATGTTAGTTGGCAATAATGTTGGTGAACCTATTTTTATCAATAGCTGCACGAAAAAGTGATTTTGAGTTTTGTCCAAACCAGTCCCTTAGATTTTGAAACTATTGCCTAGCGTGTACAAATGAAATGTGCTTCTCCTGTGAATTAAGACAGCCAAGCTGCTCTATGAGAAGAACAGATCCAAAATCCAATTCTACAATATCATTATTAGCACCAACTACAATAAACGGTCAGATCAGAACATGTGCAAACTTTTCTATTTTCTGGGCATAACAGTACATCCTTGTGTCACCCGAAGGCAAGATCTTACTGACAGCTGAGATTTATTGGGGACTCAATCAGTTTCATCCCAGGGTGATGCTAAGAGTAATCTAATATCTTGTGACAAACCATCATAATTTGGGGGATATTTTTTCTCTCTTTTCCTTCACCACCTCCTGATTTTAAAGAATCTGAGAGGATGCTGACTCATTGCTGTGGCACTTAACTGACCCTGTTAAAAATGTAGACAATATTTAAATTTTGATCGTTTAAATTTTGTATCAAAAGTTGACAAAGATTTGAGGGACGTATAATATGGAATGTTGAAGATGTTTTTGTGCATTTTCTCCTGTTCCCTATTCTGCAAGAAACCTAATAGTTAAGAAACAATTAACAATTAACTTTTTTTTATCCTGCTATCCCAATCATTTTACATTATCTGAAACAAAAATGAATCTATTGCCCTATGGTTGCATTAGACTTACTTCCACTATCCTTAGCTTACAGTTGGAGGGAAGGGAAGGGAGAATTGCGAGAAATAAAAAAGAAAACATCTGGGGAGGCATAAAAAAAGAAGAGCCACTTACGCTTTGCTGAATGAATTTGCTTCTAGCCACACTCTGACTTCCATAGCATTGGATTCAAAGGTTAAGGGAACATGAACCTGCTGGGTCTTCTCTACTTTAAAATTCCTTTGAGGTTGCTGGATTTTGATATTTGTGATCTTTTTCAGCAATTCATCATTGACCTCGTCCATGTGATGGATCAATTCTAAAAAAAAAAACGGAGGAAAAATTATGCAAGTTCAGAACAGACATCAGGCCTATCAATCTTTTAAAGCAATTTTTTGTTGCAAAAAGTCTCTTCATCAATTATTTGATTGTATTTAAGCTACATATAAATGCACACTTAAAGATGTCCATCTCCAGCTACAGGTAGTCTTCAACTTACAACCATTCTTTTAGTAACTGTGCACAGTTACAACAGCACTAAAAAAAGTGACTTATATGATTGTTTTTCACTCTTATGAGTTGAGGTGGTGCAGTGGTTAGAGTGCAGTACTGCAGGCAGGCTACTTCTGCTGGCTGCCGGCTGCTGCAATTTGGCAGTTCAAATCCCACCAGGCTCAAGATTGACTCAGCCTTCCATCCTTCCGAATTTGGTAAAATGAGGACCCAGATTGTTGGGGGCAATATGCTGGCTCTGTAAAGCACTTAGAGAGGCCTGTAAAGCACTGTGAAGCAGTATATAAGTCTAAGTGCTATTGCTATTATTACCATAGTCAGGGTCATTTGATCAACATTCAAACTCTGGACAACTTGTATGTATTTATGTCGGTGTCACTGTCCCAGGGGCACATGATCACTTTCTGCGACTTTCTGATCAGCAAAGTCAATGGGGAGCCAGATTCATTTAACACCCGACTTAGCAACTGCACTGATTCCCTTGATAACTGTGGCAAGAAAGGTCGTAAAATGGGGAAAACTTCCTTAACAACTGTCTCACTTAGCAACAATGAATTTGAGGCTCAGTTGTGGTTGTAAGTTGCGGGCAAAGCTCAACATTTTCTTCCAAAGAGAAGTGTGCTCTTAAGTCTCTTCCATGCAAGTTGCATTTCCCCCAAAGCCTTTAAGGTTAATTCTCAACCACTGAATCTAAAAACCATCAAATTGAAATCTTATTTTATACTTATTTATTTGGGAGTAAGCCTTCAAAATAATTGGAATATATTTCCAAGTAGACATGCAATACATTGAATTGTATTCCAGATGCATTAAATTTGCAAGCCTACTATTGAAAACATTAAAATATGAGAGAGAAACAGATGAACACTCCTACCTACCTTGGGGACAAGCAACTACAATGTAAGGATAATTTAAAGCAAAAGATAATACCAAGAGTATTACAAGGATTGTCCACCAGTGAAATGCTATGAGATCATTTCAAGGCAGATTTGAGATTGAGATGGCTTCTTGAGATAGCTTTATTATTTATAGAGTTACATTTGCCTTCTTGAAACAATTACAAAAGGGTCAAAACTTCCAATACATAATTTAATTTCTATAAAAGTATGATAATCAGGGGTGGGATTCTACCAATTTGCACTTATTCGCTAGAACCGGTTGTTAACATTCTAAGCAGTTCGGAGAACCAGTTGTTAGAATAAATTACTGGCCTAATCCTGTAAGGAAACCAGGAAGGAAACATTCTGGTGTTGCTTACAGAAACTGACTCTCCGTTAAACCTTATTACATTCTTGGCAGGACTAGATTTCCTGTCTCAGGAACGTCTCTGGAGTTTTTTTCCCCTCCTTTGCTGGTGCTTTGCTTGTGTGGAGTGACCATTCAAAATTACAGTGGCACTGAAAAAAGTGACTTGTGACCATTTTTCACACTTATGACTGTTGCATCATCCCCACAGTCATGAGAGGCCAGGAGAGGAGACGCGTGCCTTGATGTGAATGATATTGAGTTGGCCATGCCCAGCCAATAACATGACCACCAAATCATGTCCACCCAGTCACATGACCACCAAGCCATGCCCACCACCTAAGCCATGCCCACAGAACCAGTTGTTAAAAATTTGAATCCCACCCCTGATGATAATGCCTTTTTTAAACTTGCATATTGTAACCCAATTACACATTTAAGATTAATTCTTAGTTCAAAGGTTCTTGGTACTGACTTTTCAACTGATCTGAGTTGAAAGATCTGAAAATTTTGGCCAGTATTAATAATGCACCTTTCTTTTAATATATTAAATACATTGGTTTAGATTGCATAGATACTTACGTCCTTTGGCTTCTGAAGAACTGTGGGCTGCCATTTCACTTCCCCATTTGTCGCCAGCATAACTAGGAGGTAACTTATGGGAGGGGCTGGAAGATCCAGATGCTCGTGGACTCAAGTCTCGGTATTTCTGATTACTCTGCAAAATGTCCAATGATTGTTTTTGTGATTATTCAGTGTAAAATCATATTTCTATTATCCTTCATTCCTTATTGCTTGATAAGAAAGTATAACCATTTAACTGAGGTAAATCCTTGATTTATTGTCCACTTACAAAATTCCTACCATTGTTCTGATGTTATTATGAGATAATTTCAACCTTCAGCTGCTTAGGACATCTGCTTTTACTGGCATTTAGCTGAGATGCTGATATGCTGGACCATTATGATGGACAATAATATCTATCTATATAGGCAGATATCTCTGTGGATAACAGAACAGAGACTTTGATTCTCTAAGGAAATGTTATCATGAAAGTCCTCCACATAAATGAATACTTCTTTCAGTATTTGTGAGAAGAGTAATATGATTCATTTATTTAATGAATTAATAGTCTGCATCATTATAGTCTATAGAGTGACTAGAGGCGAAGACTATATGGTATAACTATGAGAATAATGGTTATAATTATGATGTAAAATAATATGTATATTCAAAAGAAATTACATTGTATAATTATGAGAAAAATTGTTACAATCAGGGTGTATGTACACTTATATGAGATTTGGTACACTGGCGTTGCAGAAATGGAAACGTGATGAATAATAAATGAAAATGTATAATAAAAACAATTAAAAAAACAGTCTGCATCTTTATTGCATGAAACTTTTTTTGTGTATGCCCAGGTAACACCCTAATTCTTTAGGAATTTTTTTATCCTTTAAAACTACTTTTGTAAAGAATGTGGCAAGTGATTGTTCATACATTCACCAGGAATTGAATAATGTGGTGCAAAAATATTGCATTTAAATCTTCACTCAGACATGAAGGTTAGAAGGTCAATTTAGGGTCAATGAATACTTTTGCCTACTCTACTCACAGGATTGCTTTGAGAAGAAATGGAGGGATGAAGACACATATTATTGCCATTTCCACTGTTGTTTTAATAAAGGAAGAATTATTAAAGAAAGAGAAATTTAAAGCAGAGTGTGTGCATGTGTGTGTGACTAAAACATGACTTCCTTGTAGTTAAGAAAAATTAATAGCCGGAATCATTTAGGGAAGCATATCTATCAAAGTCACCCATGCAATTTTGTGTCTAATTTAAAGAAATACGATATCTAATTTAAGAACTACTGTAAATTTGACCTGCTCCATTGCTGCAAAATCCTCCAGAGTCACCAGATCTAAGATATTATATGGAACATAACCAGCCTGTCCACTTCGGTTTTTCAGCTTCCACCATTGCTTGTTATCTTCCAACACCTGTGAATAAAAAAAAATCAATTTATCTGCTACAAAAGATTATGTTCTATTCTAGGTTCTCCCTCTGGAATCTTTACCTTACACATAGTCCTTGACTTAACAACTGTTAATTAGCGAATGTTTGAAGTTACAACAGCACTGAAAAAAGTGACTTAGGATTATGTCCTCACACTTACAACTATTGTAGGGTCTCCAGAGTCACAAACTTGGCATTTATGATGTTTGCAGAATCATGTGATCATCATTTGTGACCTCCCCAGCTGGCTTCTGACAAACAAAATCAATGGGGGAAGGCTGGATTTGCTTAACAACCATATGATTCACTTAACTGCAGTTATGCACTTAACAACCATGGCAAAAAAAAATCATAAAATCAGGCATAAATCATAACACTTAGCATCCGCCTTACTTAGCAATGGAAATTCTCGGTGTAATTCGAGGACTACCAATAATTCTTTACATTCTTGAGCACATAGTTATTTCTCTTCTGTAAATACTCTGGAATGTTTTTTTCCTCCCTGAGAATATGTTATCACTTCCAAATAATTTACACAAAAAACTTACTAGCAAATAAGTGAAATCCCATCTTATTTGCTTTTTAACCTAGTTTCCCCAATGTTCAGTGCTTCCTGCCCATTCAGCTTTAAGAATGACTAGTGAGCTCGAAAGCTTAATAGCGAAATGGGACAACTTGCCATGGCCAACTCACCAGGGCCAACTCGCTGCACGACAACTTGCTGTGGGACAATTTAACAATTCTATTTAATTATTTAAAATAAATTAAAAAGTATTTTAATTTTTGCCATTCACTTTTCATTCTGTCCCTCATTTTGCATCCTTCCTTTAATGATTCTATTCCACTATTTCTCTGATATTAGTGTAAATCTTGTCCCACAGCGAGTTGGTTGTGGCAAGTTGGCCATGACAAGTTGCCATGGCGAGCTGGCTATGGAGAATTGTCACAGACCCCCCCATAGGTGCTTTCTCCATCATAAACCAGTTAGTGCTACAGAGTATTAAAGTGCAGGTTTCCTTCTCTCTCTTACCTGCCCTGAAAAATCTCATATGGAATATTGTATGTGGAGGATTGAAGGATCCATTTAAAGCTCATGTGATCATGCCCGCCTCCCACTTCCCTTTCCAGTTATTTGCAAGGAACTTGGATTCATTCTTTTACCTCTAGAATTTCATCTTTCAGCACTGACAGTTCAGTTGCATTTCGAGCAGTGAAATCATAAAGAATTTTGGCATATCTCTTTGACTGAGCTATACCTTGTGCCTCAAAATTCCTGCAAGAAAGATAATGTTTGAAAAGAGTCAGGTTAGTCTACTGTGGCAAAAAAAATGTTGGTAGCATGTTTGTCAATTAACAATCCTCTAGTCAGAATTTAATTCAAATGTTAACCAAACTGCCTAGTTGAAGATGATGCTAATATCTTCTTATTTTTATTTTTTTGCAAGAAATATATAATGGCATTATCACAGGCTTCCATTACTAATCAGAATAAGTCATGGCCTAATTTAAAAATTAAATGATACACCAGTACATTTTTTCCAGCTTTCTTTAGCTGATGTGCTACAGTTCCTGCAAAAAATTAAATTACACATTATATCAACAAAACAAAATAATAATGAAGTCTGCCTGTAAAAGTAATTAAAGCAATAATCCTTCAGAACATAGTTTAATTCATATTACAAAATACTTTTCTTAAGGTAAGCAAGCCAGACCTCTGACAAGACATCATAAGACAATAACTGCAACCCCAATTCTTCCCGGAGTTGAAATGAAATTTGGCAGCATACAAGTGTATAAAAGAACAGAGTTAACAATTAGAAGACAGCAGCTGGACTCCCTGTTTTCCTGCTTGTATTACATTGGAATAGATAAAAGAGAAAACATTAGCTTCCATGAGGTTTGAAACCAATGCAGGGAACATCATTTTACCAGGAGAAAAGGTAGTAATCTTTTCCAGAAGTGGCTCCCAACAAGAGAAACATAGAGCAGCACAAATAAGAAAAGGAGAACGATATTTAAGCTGGTGTAAACAGAATGAGTCACCGGAAAGAATGGTGGAACTAGGAGAATGCTTTCATTGGATCATTGGCATTGAAATCTGTTCAAAAATATTCCGAATTACTCTGAATCACTCATGAACCCTACTGTGAAGGGTTTAGTCATCATGTATTCATTTATATCAAGAGTCTTCAAACTTGGCAAGTTTAAGACTTGTGGACTTCAATTCCCAGAATTCCTTAGCTAACATGACTGATTCTGGGAGTTGACGTCCACAGTCTTAAAGCTGTCAAGTTCGAAGACCCCTGATTTATATTAACAATATTATTGTTAGTATTTTTTCTTCATCCGTATGAATGTCATTTTAGATATAGTACTAAACATGGATATTTAAGCCTATTTAAGATTTTAAGATCACACATATACTGATATTCTGAACATCCTTCCTTCCTTCCTTTTCTTTCTCATTCTCTCTCCCTCTTTCTTTCTATTTTTATTATTTTCTCTGGTTTCTTTGCCTTTTTTAAAACTCTTTTTAAAACTCTTTTTTGTCTTGCTTCATGTCTTCAGTTAAAAAAATAAAGGAAAATAAAACACTTGAGGACTATTATTTCATCCTTCCACAATTACATAGTTAAGCCCCACAATATGTCCTTTAAGGTTGGGTGTACAATCTGAGGTTCCAGAGAGGCTGCAATTATTCAAAATATTAGCCACAAACTTCATATAGAGTCCCAACACGATTACCATTGAATGGTATCACATGACAGAAAGAGAAAACTATTCAATACACAAAGAGTATGGTAATCAGATTAAATTCACTTTATTTATATCAAATACTAAATCAAGTCGTGTGTACAGTAGTTTTTACCCTAGCATCATCAGCTTGGCCTGTCAACCTAAAGTTGTGTTACTTGTGAAAAGGCAGATACCCAGAATGATGTGACATCAGCTGCTCACATTTTTTCATCCCACAAATGAAACAATGAAAGGGAAATACCTATTTACATGTTGAGTAACATGCTGAGCAAAGGCATCTACTGCTTGCTTTTGGTCTGAAGTCTGGACTGGCTTCAAGTGGCGATTGAGACACCCATTGGATGATGACAGCTTCCAAGGAGAGGAGAAGAAAGAGACCAGAATATTATTAATAAAGGAAATGTGCACGTCCCAAAGAAAGTTCCTCATTTTTATCAATCAAAATCATAATATGAAAGGTGTCCCAAAGGTGCTTTTTTCAGGAGGCAACTGGACTTTCTTGTTTTTTTCTTTGAAGATGTTTTGCTTCTCATCCAAGAAGCTTCTTAAACTCTGACAGGATAGTGGGGAATGGAAGGAATGGAAAGGTTTATATTATCCAATCAGTACTGAAGAAGCTCTTGGATCAAAACAATGCAAATCAACTCTTCCTTTTAAAGTGGTATGATGATCAAGGTAACTTGCATTTGGTCACATACAGAAATATCTAAGTGATTATTTTAAAGAAGGTTAGTTATCTTTCCCTTTTATAGGTGGGAGAATAGAATGCTACGTTAGCTGAAGCCCAGCCATTGGGAGGTGAAATGAGGTAAGATTTCCAACAGCAGGAAAGCAGAGACTCATAAAGTTTTGAGAATTTCACTGCTGGAAACAAAAAGAGGAGTTTTTTTCCTGGTTTGTTTGGCAAGTCACAAATAAATCAGCTCAGTTGCTATACACAACAATGACACGAGAACACAAAGATGCAGATTGATTCTGGAACAGTGCAAATAAATCACATGGATGAGCCTAGGGAGTGCTTAGCTAGATTGCTGCAAGTTAGCTAAGTATTAAAAATGTTCAACATGCCCTGAATGATCAATTCAATTTTATTTTTTTTTAAATGAACCCTTCATAGATTTATCTACTTGAACAACAACATTCACAATTTGAATAAACAGCTAAAAGGGAGGGAGGGAGGGAGGGAGGAAGGAAGGAAAAGGGGATCTAGAAAGTACCTCTTCTTGCAAATGGCCAATATCAATTTCCCATGGAGCCCCACGAAAGATTTCCAGGGGTGGCTCCCATCCATTGTGAAACTTTGGAACATATCTTGGGATGTTGGCATCTCTTGGCCATTCGGCTCTTGGAACAGATATTAAAAATAAGTTTATTTTCTAGGCAGCAAGAACATACGCAGCCTTTTCCCATTTCAGACTATAATTACTAGTCCTCAAAGCTGAGCATCTTTTTGGAACACCAGCATTCGGACTGCTTAGCTCACATACAAATGCTACCAATGACCTTACAAAGCTAGAGACAAAACAACCATTGCTCACAACATGGATAACCACCCCACTTCCTGGCTGTGGTTCACAAGTGTTTTTTGGGTCTCTATGGTTTTAAATTCAAGAGGAGAGGCACTAGCAAGGAAGAAAAGTTAAGGTTTGCTTCATTGCTAAGGGCCTCGCTTTTTAAATCAGGGAAATTCTTGCCTTCAGTCTACTTTATTTCTGTTCAGATAGCATTTTAGGGAATTTTGCCTTTCACCAACTTCAGCCAAGGAAGACATGAGACTTCCTGTGACCACCATGGCAATCTGATGTCCTGCTAGTAACAGGGCCATATTCGCAAGGAGAATCACAGCTGGATGCAGGATTCAGGTGGCAAAATTTCTGGAGGAAGGAGAGGTTGTTGAGATTATCCACATGACTGTGGACAACCACTCCTTGTAAGTAGACCATATAAACTATTGTTTTGCAGTCAGC